TGGTGGTGCAATGTGCCCGTCTTGAAAAAATGCTGGAGTTCGTCAATGGGAAGGATGACATCCCATATATATTAATTATGGAAAATAACAAATGTTGAACATAGATCTACAACCAGTCTAGTTGGTGGTTGACCTACCCCTCTGAAAAATATGAGTTCGTCAGTTGGGATGATGAAATTCCCAAAATCTATGGAAAAATAAAATTCATGTTCCAAACCACCAACCAGCATGTATTAAGGTCGCACGGTCTATTTTTGTTGACCATGGGATAAAAATGCATAAATCTATGTTTTTTCTGACTCCATGTTGTTCTGAATCCAACACTACGGATGCATCATTTGCATGAAAAAATGGTTGTGGTTTTGGTCAGGCTTTGGGATTGGGTAGGATGGGGTAGGGCAATCCGCTACACATTACCCTGCAAGGATTATCCCATGAACATCATTCAGCATCCATCCGTTAGCTTCGCTAGGGTTTGATTTATGTTGGAGACTTGTAGTCTGTTTCAACCATCAACATTATAAGATAGGCCGGCATGTACTACACTAGATATAATATGATATAATGGGGATATAAATACATGAATAATCTTCATCTCCGTACGTCACGGATGTCTAGATTGGGACATGCCAAAAAAGGAGATTTCGATCCTGAAACAATTGGTCGATTGAACAAGGATCCTTTGCACATGAGCTGAAAGGTTCAAGAAATGTCCCGTCAAAATTAACAACGTCCGTTTCGCAACACAGTTAAAAAATAAAAGGACCGGACACCCCCACATGTCAAGCCTTTATGCATGTAAGATTTTAATGTGAACTTCGGGGAGGTGTGAGAAGTGAGGTGTGAGAAGTGGATTTGTGATGTCAGGTGTGAGAAGTGGAGCTGTGATGAGGTCTGATGTGATAAGTGAGGTGTGAGAAGGGGTGTGAGAAGTGGAACTGTGATGAGTTGGGATGTGATAAGTTGTGATGAGTTGTGATGAGAAGTTGTGATGTGATAAGGAAGGTGTGAGAAGTGGAACTGTGATGAGTTGGGATGTGATAAGTTGTGATGAGTTGTGATGAGAAGTGGACCTGTCAGAAGTGGAGCTGTGATGAGTTGTGATGAGTAGTGGAGCTGTGATGAGTGAGGTGTGAGAAGTGGAGCTGTGATGGGTTGGGATGTGATAAGTTGCGATGAGTTGTGATGAGAAGTGGACCTGTGAGAAGTGGAGCTGTGATGAGTTGTGATGAGCAGTGGAGCTGTGATGAGTGAGGTGTGAGAAGTGGAGCTGTGATGACTTGGTATGTGATAAGGTGTGATGAGTTGTGACGAGTTGTGATGAGAAGTTGTGATGTGATAAGTGGGTCTGTGATGAGTGGTCATGATAAGTCTACGGCGGCGGAGGCGGGAGCAGGAGCGGCGGGATCCAAGTGAAAAACAAGAGCCCGGCACATGATACATGCAGCACACGAGCTCTTTTTCAAGAGAGGCCGCGCAAGTTCAAGCGTCATCATTCTGTGCAGTGTAGGGTACCTGGCACAGTTGATGAGGTAAAAGAAATATGAAATTAACTGATGAGTCTATGTGACTGAAAGTAGCGGAGTGATACACTGTCGTCTGTGTGTTCCCAGGCAAAAGGCAGCCGCGGGCCAGCGGCGGCCACCGCGCCGCAGCTCCGCCAGGAAGCTCTGTGTACTGCGCCTGCCACGCAAAAGGAAAGTGCGGGGGCTGAAGTGCGGAGGCTGAAGTGCGGAGGCTGAAGTGCGGATGCTCTGTGTGCAACTGCCAGGCAAAAGGCAGCCGCGGGCCAGCGGCGGCCACCGCGCCGCAGCTCCTCCAGAAAGCTCTCTGTACTGCGCCTACCACGCAAAAGGGAAGTGCGGAGGCTCTGTGTACTGCGTCTGCCAAGCAAAAGGCAGGCGCAGGCCAGCGGCGGCCACCTCGCCGCAGCTCCTCCAGAAAGCTCTATGTACTGCGCCTGCCACGCAAAAGGGAAGTGCGGAGGCTGGGGTGCGGACGCTCTGTGTACTGCGCCTGCCAGGCAAAAGGCAGCCGCGGGCCAGCGGCGGCCACCGCGCCGCAGCTCCTCCAGAAAGCTCTGTGTAGTGCGCGTGCCACGCAAAAGGGAAGTGCGGAGGCTCTGTGTACTGCGCCTGCCAGGCAAAAGGCAGCCGCGGGCCAGCGGCGGCCACCGCGCCGCAGCTCCTCCAGAAAGCTCTCTGTACTGCGCCTGCCACGCAAAAGGGAAGTGCGGAGGCTCTGTGTACTGCGCCTGCTAGGCAAAAGGCAGCCGCGGGCCAGCGGCGGCCACCGCGCCGCAGCTCCGCCAGGAAGCTCTGTGTACTGCGCCTGCCACGCAAAAGGTAAGTGCGGAGGCTCTGTGTACTGCGCCTGCCAGGCAAAAGGCAGCCGCGGGCCAGCGGCGGCCACCGCGCCGCAGCTCCTCCAGAAAGCTTTGTGTACTGCGCCTGCCACGCAAAAGGGAAGTGCGGAGGCTCTGTGTACTGCGCCTGCCAGGCAAAAGGCAGCCGCGGGCCAGCGGCGGCCACCGCGCCGTAGCTCCGCCAGGAAGCTTTGTGTACTGCGCCTGCCACGCAAAAGGGAAGTGCGGAGGCTGAAGTGCGGAGGCTAAAGTGCGGACGCTCTGTGTACTGCGCCTGCCAGGCAAAAGGCAGCCGCGGGCCAGCGGCGGCCACCGCGCCGCAGCTCCGCCAGGAAGCTCTGTGTACTGCGCCTGCCACGCAAAAGGGAAGTGCGGAGGCTGAAGTGCGGACGCTCTGTGTACTGCGCCTGCCAGGCAAAAGGCAGCCGTGGGCCAGCGGCGGCCACCGCGCCGCAGCTCCTCCAGAAAGCTCTGTGTACTGCGCCTGCCACGCACAAGGGAAGTGCGGAGGCTCTGTGTACTGCGCCGGCCACGCGCGCCGCAGCTCCTCCTGGAGGCTCTGTGTATTGCGCGTGCCACACGAAAGGCGTCCAGGAAGCTATCTGTACAGTGAGTGAATGAGTGAGTGAGTGAGTGAGTCAGTGAGTGAGTGAGTGAGTGAGTCAGTGAGTGAGTGAGTGAGTGAGTGAGTGAGTGAGTGAGTGATGCACGCAATTGGCATCTCAAGTGATGAGTGAGGATGAGATGTGAGTGAGATGAGATGTGAATGAGGGAGATAGGGAATGTGTGATGAGTGATGAGTGTGAGTGAGGAGGAGGCGGCGGAGGAAGAGGGGGCGGAGGCGAAGGAGCGGAGCCCCGGCGGGATCCAAGCGAAAAACAAGAACCCCACACAGTGATGTGGGGAAAAAGTTGCGCCTAAAACAAATCCTACTAAAATAGGTGCCTCGGTTTTTAGGCTAAATGCTTTATGAGCCAGTCACAAGTGTTGGTTTTATGGTAGATGTCTAGCACTAGTTAGATGGGTTTTAAACCAACAAACACAAGTGGGGGGCACCACATCTTAGTAGAAATTGACAATCAATGGTTTCTCGATCGGAAACGATCTACTTCCATGGTGGATGTTCCATATGTTAGTTTACTGGAGGGTACAGCAAGAGCAAGCAATGGGAATATGATATGATGGGAGCATGACTCAATGACAAACAAAACCAATGGCAATATAAATAACGATCAATTTAGCTAGTCTTAAGATATTCAAAAAGATTCAAAAAGAATTTATATTTGTTGGATATGGAATGCGTATTGTTTTTTTTGCAAAGACACAATCTTTTAATGCATTTGGATCTCTTGTTTCCGTGCATCCTCAGGCAAAATCTGATCAACCTGATCTGTGTTGCGCTGAATTGGCATACCATAGGGTTCACCTGCTCTAATAATTGGCTCCTCCACACTCTATGCTGCTAAACCACAAATCTAACAATCATAGATGTTTTTTGGGAATACCCTTTATCATCACCAAACCAAAATTGGTAGTTTATGGCTTTGGGTTTACCACATTAAATCCCATCAAATCCCCAGAAAAATCATCAATTTTGTTGCTTAAATCTCATTAAGTCACCATTTTGGTTGCTTAAATTCTGTTCAAACCCATGAAATCACCATCTGGATGTCATCCCTTAGCATCAACCAGCGTTATCCCGTGCGATGGCGCTCGACGGCCGGCCTGCGCCGCATGCGCCAGACTTCTTTCCTCGCCTTGGAGGTTGTGCTGACGCAACGCGGCCACCGTAGACTCCGTTTCGTCGTGTTTCTTTGTTCCGGACAGGAAGCACTAGAACAACTCAAATGCATATATATATATATATATGTATATACATATAATATGTATACATATATATATATGTAGATAGAATTATAATATGTATTCATAAATGTATATAACTGTATGTATATATATATATCTACACAATACACACATGTAATAAACATTTTGTATAGATACATAGTCACATTTCCCAGAACCTACCCCTATTCATCTTGTCATCCTTTTACAATGCCTCCTAATCATTTATAATATATATATATGTATATATATATACACTAATTATAGATTTGTCAAAGTTAGTTGTTCTTTGGGTGCAAGAACTAGATGAACATCGCCAGCAAACATAGGATCCATATCACCACATGTTCGGACCTGTGGAAGCACCAAGCCTTGGGCCTTCAGGTGCTGGAGTGCAAATCTTGACAATCCCAAGCCAAACAAGGCTAAAACAGGTGGAGATGATTACCATGCGGGAAAAATAACCATGTTTAATAGGTAAAACAACTATACATGGGCCAGTTTCCAGCTATGTTAGTTTACCAGAGGGTATTTCATGAATCTGTGTAAGCAGAACTTTGGACATTCCGTTCAAGTTTCACGAAACAGTTGTGACCTTTGGAAGACAAAGAGCGTCTCCATGAAGTTTCCAGTGGAACACTATTTGAGCTATGAAAAACACTCCTTTCCCGGCGATTGTAGCTGTTGGTACATAGGTATCCCATGAATTATGGCTTAGAAAAATATCAATAAACCAACCGGTATAACTTTATAACCTCCTACTTCTTAACCCTTAACTTTCATGGTTCATTTAAAGTTGAAGTCTTGTGGCATATTTTTGGATACCGCGACTAAGGTCAACACTGTCTTCGAAAGTCACATGCTCCTTGGGAAATGGGGGAAATGGTGCTGCATTTGCCAACAAATAAGCAAGACTGGCAATCTTTAAAACACATGTAGCTTTTGCGCATGACTTTCCGATCTAACTTTTTTGAAGATGGTTTTGACATGTTTTGGGCGTCCAAGGTTTACGTTCTTGAGGTCCAAAGCAGTGGGGAAGGATGACACAGTCTGTGATACAGAAAAAAACTCGGTGTTGTCTCATTGACCGCATAGATATGCAGGGGGGGCGTCCCTCTATTACAATGCTAGGCGCCTACCCTCTGGTAAACTAACATAATTATGGAAAATCACAGTGTTTAATGGGTAAATCAACGTCCATTTTCAATTGCCATGTTAGCTTGCCAGGGGGTACTTGTGTACTACCACCAACCAACATAGCCCCTGTTTTTTAGCAGCTCTAAGTGGGCATGGCAAATCGTGTTGCTATCTTGCGAAAGCCCCAGTTAACCCGAGTTAAAAAAAACATCAACGGCTCAAAAAGCCATTACCTAAAACCATATACTGAGAAAAACACTTCCTAGATCCATTTGGATTATTCATAAGAAATTCAAAGAAATCAGGTACGACAATAGTTCATTTGTCCACTCTTGTATGTCCACTGACTTGATTTATTTGAGCATCATTTTGCGAAAACAAACCGACTCATTTCTTGGTCAGATGAGGTCAGGAGGAGCAGGACAGGTCCTTTTTGTGGACTTCAGCCTTTTGTTTTTCCTCCTTTTCTCTTTTCTTTTGCAACCTGACAATACTTCACTTGGTGGTCACTATGGAAATTGGGAAGGCAAGTCTGAACCCACAAACCGCGGTCTTTTCTAAAAACGGCCTATCCTGAACAGGGAGCAGCAAACTACTTAAACCATCTACTGATTTTTGGTATTCAACCAGTCCTTTAAAACTCCTTTATCAGGGTTTCATGTATACATATATATAATTACATATTATATACCATCTGGTTGTTTAATGCTTTGCCATGGAAAATCCCTTATAAATGAAGGTATTAATGGGAAAATCATCTATAAATGGGCTATGTTAAATAACCAGAGGGTATATACATAAACACTTTAGTACTTGAGATGCAGCACTCTGTAAGAACCAGTTGATTTTACCTTTCAAAGCAGGGGCAGAGTTTGGCCATATTTAGTAGGGGACTTTTTTTTGGAATACCACGAGGATATCAAAGTGAAATGAACACAACTTACCCAAACCATAACAGAGCCGACCTCTTCTCCTCTTTTTTCCTCTCTTTGCGAGCCCTTTTCTCGTCTTCCATCTCTTTTTGCAACCTGTGAAGCTGGGCTAGCACCACTAGCAGAAGTGGCCAGTGATTCGAGTCGGTTCAGCTGGAGGTTTCACGCCTCCATAACTGGTACATCGACAAGTCGACGTGCACGTTTGGTGGCCCCCCCAGATATAAGTTGACTTACAGTTATGGCCATAAAAACCAGTTATAACTGGTTATTTCTATGGGATGAAATACATTCTATAAATGGGGTGACTTGTTAGTACTTATAACTGATAAATGGCCATAACTGTATAAACCATTAGAAACACCCATTCAATATATATAGCTGTATGCCCCATCCAGCCCTTATTTTTCTGTGCGTCAACTTAGCCGCTGTTTCGTTTGGGGGCCCCACCTTGCTATGAGAAAATCCGTCTGACACGGACCTCGGATCTTTGGGATTGGAATATATATATATATATTATATATATATCATGTGATATCAGATCATAAAACATATATATATATATTATAACATTCTATATATATATATATAACATTATATAACAATTCCAGCGCCTCTTCTCCTCCTCTTCTCTCTCTCTTTGCTCTCTTTGTTCTCTTTGCTCTCTTTGTTCTCTTTGTTCTTTCTTCTCCTTTTTCTCTTTCTTGCTTTTCTTCTCCTCCAATGTCGCGTCCCAAAGCTGGGGTTCCCACTGACCTGGTTTAGTCTCACAGAATCTTCGAAAGGTTGCAGGATCAAGTCCTTTCGAGACACCTAGGATTGAACAGCGGGGCTTGAGATCTCACCTTCGTGGTCGTGGCCAGCTGCGAACTGTGATACAAGAGTTATGCAGTGTACACGTCTTTCATAGAACGTGATCCTGGAGAAGTAGAATATGAAATGGGCCTCACAACGATCGGGTATCCAACCTCACCAGTAGCCCTATTCATAGATATGCAATAGCTCTCGAGCACACAGTCCCTCAGTCCTTCTTTTCTTTTTTGTCCTTCTTGTCCTTCTTTTTCCTAGGCAATGTGGGCAATGTGCGGCGGAACCTAAACTATGAAAAAATGGAATTCGCATACGCCTCGCACATGGATATCTATCTATCTATATATATATATATAAGTAATCACAGTATTGACACGCTACATAAATAATATATATATATATATGTATATATATATGTATATACACACACACCAAAAAAAACAATGTATGCACTTTCCTGTATGCATTACAAACAAATAACATATGTATCCACCGTATGGAATGCTCCAGATCCAGCAATACATGCCTACTCCAGCTGAAGGAGGGCAAAGTCTTGCTGGTGCTCTGGTTGGGTTCTTATTGTGAGTGTTGGAAGCAAGCAATCAAAATCCGAGCGACAAACAATCAGCTTCGATGTGTCTGACAGAAACAGAACAAATCAGTTGCAGAAAACGCATTTGGAATTAAACACATGAACTTCCAGTTACCAGTGATTTGGTCAAATGATGTCCTTGGTTCAGAACATTTTTTTTGGGCCAATCTGTTTTTTTTGAGCTTGTCAGTTTTCAGCGATGGTGATCAACCACATCATCCTGCAAAAAATGACTGGATAGTAAACCATGTCCTGTGTATATATATATATAGATAAAGTGTCGTATGATTGTAAATATAATGTAATAGCATTATGTATACATGTCATGTATTGTAGATGGACCACAAAAATGGGATCTGGAAGATTACTTTTCTCAAACGGGTAATGCATTTTTGGGTTCCGTCTCAAACGTAGTGGGTGTACTACATGTATCAGGGCACAACGCTTGTATGCATCTATGATGAGGTCGCTATAGTCTACCCAGGAATATATCAAGGTATAACACGTTTACAAGTCACCATTGTTTGCTTAGCAAATTCACAACTAGGCGTTTGCTTTGCAGATCCATAACTAGGTTAAGTATTCACCAGTGGATATGTTTTATCTAGTCACATGGATAGTAAACCGACAAACATACACCACCTTGTGTCATTCTAGCTCAAAACGAATCATCCCCGATATGATTGCCCAATGTCATCTCAGTCATCTCAGTCATCTCAATCATTCTTCGGAAATCAAACATGGCATGCTGGAAAATCCACCATTTATAGAGGATTTGCCCAGCTACAAACCTCCACTTAATTCAGAGATGTTCAGGGATTTTCCAGCTAGACACGCTTATGACCGGAGGGTATTCCTATCATATTCCCATTATATAAATCACCATTAAATAATAAATCACCATTTTTGTTGGTTAAATCCCGTTGAATCACTGTTTCAGTGCTAGAAAGAGTGCTAGAATGACCTGTTCAGGTACCATTGTGCAATTCTTTTTTTACATCGAGCTCGCCATCTAGCGAAGCATCCACAGCAGTAAACACCTATGGACCCACAGCAGCTTCAGCTGCAGTTTTCATCATTGCCGCCACCAAAGGCATGCTGCCACTGCAAAACTGGCACTGAATCCTTACAGTGCTCTTGCGACTCGACTCTAGTCTCTAGCCAGTCTCATTTCCACGTGCCATCTCATCTGCACGTGCCATACATGCTTTTGACACAACCTGGTCACGCATGTCCTCCGTCAACTTGTTTGCCGCTGCCCTGTATCCGGGGCAGTGCTAGACAGAGTGCTAGAAAGTGCTAGAAAGAGTGCTAGAAAGGGTATATCCCTAATATCTATATGTATATATGTATATATATATATATATAAATGTATCCCAATTATATCCCTATAAGTCCCTGTTGTTGCAACTCAAAATCAACATTTATAGGGGAAAACCCTCGTTTCTCTCCACTTCAGGCCCGAAACAAACCAAGACACTTCACTTCTTCCAAGGACTCGATCGAGCCTTCTTCACCTGCCCACAGAGCTCACCTGTAAAAAAATAGGGTTCTAACGTAACCTCAAAAAATGTGAATCCAATTCAAGAAAACTAGGAAAAACTGAAATTGATTTATTATACACTTCAAAGAGCGAAGTTGTTCTTTTTACTAGGCTACCAATTGGATGTATCGTGGATACAGCGAACTAGTATAACTATACTTAGCTGGGCTTTGAAACCAATGACTTGGGTGCCCCTGCCGAAATGTTGAACTCACTTTGTTATATAGTTGATGGGATTCTGAACATATCTCGGGATGACTGGGCCGACATCTCGAGAGGGGATCCGACGACCAAAAGCTTGGTCCGAATCACCATGGTGCCAGTGGTGCCGCTGAAGCAGCAGTGCTTCAAACTGAAAAATATCTAGCTTGGTTTTTAATAGATTGAAGTCCTCAAAAAACCCTGGATGAGGTAACTTCAAGGCCAACAGATGAGGTTGAAGTCCAAGTTTCTAGGTACAGCGGTTCTCATCTGTTGGCTTTTAACTATGTAAAACCCCCTAAAAGAGGAATGTTCTGACCCTGGAATTTCCAAGACTGTACCAGCTACAACTGGCACAGGACTTCTCCCCTGAGTATGGGCCAAAACTCAGAAATGTTATTCATAGTGAGCTGGCGCCAAAACCACGGACCTCCAAATAAGGGTATAGGTATATGATACAATGTGAGGCCCCCGTTCGATAGCTAAGTTGGGGCTCACATTACTCCAATTTCACTATGGTTTATGGTACGCAAATAACTATAGTTGCTGGGGCGAATCTAAACCAACGTTCACATCACTGGGGGGCCTCACATTGTATGGTTAGTTTATAATAGGTAGAGAGCCAGTGGAGAGCCCTAAAACAATGATCAGTCCAATGATAAATGGCACCACCATATTCAGGAACCGATGGGCAATGTTGATCCTCAGTGGACATGCCACCCCTATTTCGAATCAAAACCCGTATCTTGGTGGTTTGTTGATCCAGTTTGAAAGTTAGACTCTTCAAAGGATATTAGCCAAACATAGGTTAACCGGTTCACCATCCAATACCTCAAAATTCCCCAAGATCTATCGGAATTTCCCATGGGAATGAACCCGGCTGAAAAACACCAATGGCATTCCCAGCGGCCCCGCGCCTAGCCAATCTTCCCGGAAGTCCTCCGGTGACGGTGGGCTCATGGCCATCGGCGCCATCGGCGGCGGAGGAGCCCAAGGGCCGCCCCCAGGGCGGCCCACGGAGCCAGAGGCCTTCAAGGAACAACGGCCAAGCGGTGACGGGAATCATCTCATACTCATACATCGTGTTTTTTTGAATGATGTATATAATGCCAACACCGGCGAAAAAAAAAACAGGTAGGTACGTAGGTAGGTACCTTCTGGCTAGTTTTCTTGCCAACCCCTAAATAAACGCACCCTGAACCATAAAATTCTGAACCATAAAACTTTGGATATGGCTTACATCAATTAGATCTTAATAGAATTCCATTGGATTTGTTAAAATCTCATGGATCAGAAAGGGGGTTGGTTAATCAGGGGAAAACCGTGGTTACTATTAATGGGGGACATGGGCTCATGGGGGGTACCCTTTGGGAGCTATCCAAACTGATGATTTTCATAAAGATTTTAATTAGAAATGGATCATTTGGGGAATAGTTGTTTTTAGAAATTTTCAATGATCAACTTAAACCTTAAGTATAACAATGATGATGAAAAAAAGTAAAAAAAAGGAAATAAAAGGAATTGGAAATAAAAATAGTTGGATAAAAAATGAATTTCAGCACTGGTGGTTGATTAATCGGGGGTAGGCCAAAAAAAATATTAGTCATGGGGGACCACCTGTTTTGAAATTACATTTTTTTTGGCAGTTGCTGTTGATTAATCGGGGGGGCATTATTAATCCTCACTTGGCATTAGCATATATAGTATATTAAATATGTTAATTACTACTAATAAATGGCTCATACATCGTGTTTTTTTGAATGATGTATATAGCATATATAGTATATTAAATACGCTAATTACTAGTAATAAATGGCTCATACATAGTGTTTTTTTGAATGATGTCTATAGCATATATAGTATATTAGATATGTTAATTACTAGTAATAAATGGCTCATACATCGTGTTTTTTTGAATGATGTATAGGCATATTAAATCTGTTACTAGTAGTAAATGGTATGTTCAATGGTACTATTAGTAGAACTGCCATAGTCAGTATAACTTGGGGCCTTTGGGGATGGTGAAAAAAGGCCAGCCATTTCTGGTGAACTTCGGAATGCTTGGTGATTGGATTGTCAACTAATAGTTAATAATAGTAAGTACATTATATATATAGTTATATATAACTATAGTCTATAGTTATATATAGTAATCTGGTTGGTGGTATACCTGCCCCTCTGAAAAATATGAGTCAGTTGGGATGATGACATTCCCAAATATGGACAACACAATGTTCCAAACCACCAACCAGATTGTGTAGATTTGGAGTGAACAGCTATAGAAAATGACCGCAAATCAAGTTGTAATAAACAGTTTTTCAGGTCTGCCCAAGCACGCAAATGTGCAATCAAGAAAAGAACTACTAACAGAAACACGCCACGACGACATAAATCCCAAAAAAACATAAGCAAAAAAAAGGAAGCAAACTGCTTCAATACTCTTCCCCAGGTGTTTTCGATAGGGATACCCCGGGTACCCCTCATCACCACTGGTTTCCGATTGAACTCGCTTGGAAGATCACAAGTTGGTCCCCCATATCCCAGAGATTTGAGACCCAGGTCCCTACCATTCCATCTGCCAGTTAGCCAGGATATAATGGATTAAATGGGGAATATTTCCCTTAATGGGAAACCTAGAAATAAACCATGATATCATTATAATACTGTTTATGATATCATCCTGTTTATTTCCCTATGATGTTGAATCCCCAAACACTTTTGATTAAGAACTATTCTGGTTGGTGGTATACCTACCCCTCTGAAAAATATGGTTTCGTCTGTTGGGATGATTAGTCCCAATATATGGAAAAAACATGTTCCAAATCACCAACCAGTATTAAGTTCCCATTTGTAAATCTAAGAAGCATCTATTCAACCAACATAACAAACACTTGGCCATCAGATTAGCATAAGTTTTCCTCTTAGGACACATATCCTAGGACTTTGATGGCAAACATCGCAGGGCGGAAACCGGACCTCCCTAGTCCGTGCAGCACTCCCCGGACGCATGGTTTTCGGTGCCGATGGGGCTAGAGGGCCGCCCTGCAGTGGAGACATCTGGGTGAGTCTTACTGTAGTATGTGATAGTAGTAATTATAGTTACATATATATATAATTATATATAAATTATGGTATTTATGGTAATATATGATAATTATATGCTACGTAGATATAGGTTTTGTATAGTAAAATATTGTATGTAAGAATGGGCTTATTGGTCAAATATGGCAATGATGATATGGTAATTACAGCAGAATTCCTGGAAACATATAGATGTTTGCGAGCAATAGATGCATTCTATGCAATACTGATACCCATTGCTAGATATGAACCCATCTGTTTTCTTCATAAGGTAGGGCAGTAATAGGTGTATTGGTATGACTGTATGTATATATAAATATATGTATATATATATTGTTTCTATATGGTACTCGATGACAGATATCACCTGTACTGACGATTCATGCGGCGAATTAGCCACCATTGATGATCCAGATCTTTGGTAGCAATAGTCACTATTTACATTCCATCTTTGTTCCATCCAAAATTGCCTCGTTATTGTCGTCCCTTTCATTCTTAGTTGTATACATGTTTGTCTCCTGAAAGGGAGACACACACACACAATTTGTGAGATCATTGCCTTGTTGCATCAATGGTGGCTTGAGAAATGGGTGATGTACTTGGGAATACCCAACTTACAAGATGTGCCTAATTGAAAGAACAGTCTAAATCCACTTCATAGTAGTAGACTGCTGGCAATCCACTAAAAATCACCTACTCCACTTGCTATAACTTTCATCTGTAAACAACTGATTGCTGTTTTTGGTGGTTTTGAACCCCTTGCACCCTTGACCCCATGTCTAGGGAGCATTCTCGAACAGAAACAACAAAGAAGCAACATGGTAGGAACATTTGCCATGTGGACACAAATGCTAGATGTGGGCTAGACCCCAATATCCCTCAATCATAGGCAGGTTCCGTCTCGACCTTCCGCTACAACTATTATGTAATATACATATATCTATCTATACATATATTTATCTCTGCATACATATATTATCATGTACTGTATATTACATTTGATGTCACTGTCTATACGGGTAAAACACACAGCATGTGACTGGGACAACAAGGACTGAGGTCGCTGACTGGCATGGACGGACTGCTGGGTCCTGGAGATCAAGGGGCATGGAAGTCCGGTTCCGGAATGGAGCTGAGATTGGGTTAAGGGAAACATGGGGGTACACATGCATATCATATATATAGTATACAGTAGCAATCATTTTATGGGGATCTAATATGGTATAGTATGATATAATACTATATAGTGGAATATCAACAACAACTAGACGACGGATGGCCCGAGAGCGTAGAGGAGCGGGGTCTTCTCTTGTTAGTATGGAGACACAATTTTACAAACAATATATGAAAGATGTGTTATAGGCAGTCGAGAAGAGGAGTAGCAAGACAAAATAGTGAGAAGTGCAAGACAATAGTTTGCATCGCAAACACTTTTACACACAGACGCTTTTACACACAAAAGCTTTTACACACAGAAGCTTTTACACACAGAAGCTTTTACACACAGAGGCTATTACACACAAAGCTTTTACCCACAGAAGCTTTTACATACAGACGCTTTTACACACAGATGTTTTTACACACAGACGCTTTTACACGGACACTTTTACACACAGACACGTTTACACACAGACACTTTTACACACAGACCTTTTTACAGACAGGAGCTGCTTTTAACACACAAACGCTTTGACACACAGAAGCTTTTACACATAGACGCTTTTACACACAGGCACTTTTACACACAAACACTTTTACACACAAACACTTTTACACACAGACACTTTTACACACAGAAGCTTTTACACACAGACGCTATTACACACAGACGCTTTTACACGCAAAAGTTTACACACAAACAGTTTTACACACAAACACTTTTACACAGAGACGCTTTTACACACAGACGCTTTTACACACAGACGCTATTACACACAGACGCTTTTACACACAGACGCTTTTACACACAGACGCTTTTACACACATCGCATTTTTACTTCAGTTTTTGGCGATCCAACCTCATTTCGTGCGAAAGGGACGTGCGAAAGGGTCGCGCGGGACAAGTTGAAATCGCAATTTTACCTCAGTTTTTGCCGATCGAACCTCATTTCGTGCGAAAGGGTTGCGCGGGACAAGTTGCAATCGCAATTTTACTTCAGCTTTTGACAATCGAACCTCGTTTCGTGCGAAACAGTCCACCGGAAACACGAAATCGCAATTTTACCTCAGTTTTTGACGATCGAACCTCATTTCGTGCGAAAGGGTTGCGCGGGACAAGTTGAAATCGCAATTTTACCTCACCTGAACCTCCCATTGGTACACAAAAATGTGTACCATTTTTTTTCTGCCCGATTTCAAAAAATGTGCCCGTTTAAGGGTCTGAAAAAAAAAGGTGTCCGAAGTTCCGTGGCTCTCCATAGTAATCAACCTGATTCTTTCCCCAAAGGCTCGATAGGACACTTTTGTCATGCGCTAATGCATGTGCAGCATGCCAAATACGACCTCGAACAGAAACGCCTGACAACATGGGTTGCATCGCAGCAGATGTAAACAACCGAGCTTTGGACAGGGTAAATCTAAAGTATCCACCTCAACATCACGTATGTTTTTCATAGGCAAAGAATGGCCAAGATGCCTCCAGCAAACAACCTTCAGCTATAGCGCAATTCTCACAACACCACATCAACAGTCGGGCATTTTTTTTTCACACGAAGAATCCTCATGCAGGGCGTTCAACATTCAACATTCAACACAAAAACACCACAGTCACAACAAACAAATACATAACATATATAAGATGAACACTACACGCGGCAAAATCCAGAAACATGCGCACCGGGAGTCCAAGTAAAACGGAAATGAAGCCATTCCATGAACTAAACGGTGCGATGGAAGAACTGGCTAGGCTCAGACTGAAACAACATGCCCCCCACAAGCTCAAGACCACATGGCGGCGCCTTCTCTTCGGACCATGCCTTCTGTTCGGACCATGCGTAAAAAGGGTTTTCAAAAACACGCGACACGTCATGACGGTCAAAACAAGAGGGTCAAGTGGGGCACTTTTTGTTTTCGCGCCCATTTCGCGCCTTTTTGCGCCCGTTTCGCGCGTTTTCGCGCCCGTTTCGCGCAAGACCCTTGGATAATATCAGGCGCAAAATGTCAACATCATGCATGTCAAAGCCGACCTACTGCAAGGCGCCATTTTTCATCAAGCAAACGTCAACCTGACCGTGTTTCCCAGTGTTCACGGTCAAACTTTGTCATGCACAGCCATGCCACAGGCCGGCTACTTTTGCCATGAGGTGGTTTCCACATATAGTCCCATGCATCAAGCACTTGTGCGTCGTGCCATGAGTTACCCATGGGCAGGGCTTCAAACATTTCACAGCGAGCGGAAAATTTCCGATTTTTATCCTGGAGGAGGAATCAGATGCAACCATCTGAAAAATAAGTCATGCATCCAGTCATGCATAGAAACAAGAACGTCTTCAATATCGTGCGCAGCAGCCTTGCTTTTTGATTGAAGTAAATCATGGTAACGCTATATATGGGGTATGGGGATATTTGGCACAGATTAATAGCTGCATGTTGGTCACATCATCTGTGCCCATGTCATCTTTCAACAAACACATTGTGAAAGTAACTATATAGGCCAACTAGGCTTCAAACCCAGCCACATGCTTGCCAACAGGGCTGATTTGGACGTATATGTTTGAGCAAAAGTTGGGAAGGGGCTGGCAAAACTGAAAACGGCACAAAACATAGCCATTATTAGCCACTTGGAAAAATATGTCCACACAGTTACCTTTTAAAAAATGTGCTCGAAAATGAAGTTGTTTTCAGAATCTGCCCGTTTACCAAAAAAGTGTACCAAACACCCTAAAAGTACACATTTATCTGTACCACTGGGCGGTGCAGGCAGTTTTTGACGATCGAACCTCATTTCGTGCGAAAGGGTTGCGCGGGACGACTTGAACTCGCAATTTTACCTCAGTTTTTGACGATCGAACCTCATTTCGTGCGAAAGGGTTGCGCGGGGCGACTTGAAATCGCAATTTTACCTCAGTTTTTGGCGATCGAACCTCATTTAGTGCCAAAGGGTTGCGTTTCGTGCCGTCTCGTTGCCACTGCCTCTGCTCCCGCCTTCAAGAAAGAAATAGAAAAGAAGGAGAGGGCAAGAGGGCAAGAGGGCAAGAGGGCAAGAGGAGAAGGTGTGAGATGAGAAGATGTGAGAAGATGTGAGAAGATGTGAGAAGATGTGAGAAGATGTGAAGATGAGAGGATGTGAAGATGAGAGGATGTGAAGATGAGAAGATGTGAAGATGAGAAGATGGGAGGATGAGAAGATGTGAAGATGAGAAGATGTGAAGATGAGAAGATGTGAAGATGTGAAGATGAGAAGATGTGAAGATGAGAAGATGTGAAGATGTGAAGATGAAAAGATGTGAAGATGAGAGGATGTGAAGATGAGAAGATGTGAAGATGAGAGGATGTGAAGATGAGAGGATGTGAAGATGAGAAGATGTGAAGATGAGAAGATGTTTTACAGGCCCCCACTATTGGAAGAACCCTGCGCTCAGACGCTCTCGGGAAAAATGACAATCAATGGATTGCAATTTGGGATCCGAACTAATAGTCACTAATTATAACTAATTGCCATCTGGATCCATCTGGTAGTTTCACATAGCTATAGAAAATGACCAATATTTAGAAGTAAATAATTTATAAATGGGCAAGGTGCCATAGCTATGTTAAATTACAAGAAAGCATGCGTAGTTTGGTAGTTTGCAACCGGGGTTCTTTAGCTGGTGATTTCATCATGGATAGCTTTTCCCAACTTAGGCCGGCGGGGTGAAAATTGGTCTGTGGGTTGCTATTTGTGATCGCAAACCCACTCCACATGGATCAAAAAGATTACAGTAGAAGAAAAGCAAACGTTAGTATTGTGCCTCAAACCAAATTCTTATCTGGTTGGTGGTTGACCTACCCCTCTGAAAAATATGAGTTCGTCAGTTGGGATGATTATTCCCAATATATTCCATGGTTCCAAACCACCAACCAGTCACATAATTACACTTCTGCAGATGCCATGTGTGATTGCATCTAAAACGATTGCAGGGAACCCCAAGATCATCGAAGGTCCAACTGTGTCCAAAGCCATTTGTCATCGTGAAGGTTCAGACTTCCCAAGATTTTTCGCATATCGCTTTGATTCAATAATGTCCTTTGAGCTGGTATACCATCTATCATCATTGACCTCTTGTTAAAGGGGTTTCTTCAAACTCCTCTATTAATCAACCAACCAGTGGGAAAAGGACATCTATGGCTTTGATACTCATAAACCCACATAAAATCAACTTGCTTCAAGCGGTCCTGGGGGAAATGGTGCATCGCCACCTCCAAATCTTGACGGTTGCTCCCAGGGTGCTGGTACCCTTCCATTGTCAAATGGGTCTGGAGCAGGAGATTTGGACCTACCCGATGGACTATCCACTGGCCCTAGCCCGCGAATGCCCTGTTTGGACGGCTTGTCCGGAGCGGGAGGCTTGGATCTACCGTGCAAACTGTCCACTGGCCCCAAACCAAGCATGCCCTGTTTGGGCGACTGGTCGGGGGTGGAAGGTTTGGATCTACCGTGCAAACTGTCCACCGGCCCCAAACCAAGCAGGCCCTGTTTGGGCGACTGGTCGGGGGCGGGAGATTTCGATCTACCACGCAAGCTATCCACTGGCCCCAAACCAAGCAGGCCCTGTTTGGGTGACTGGTCTGGAGCAGGAGATTTGCTTCTACCCTGCAAGGTATCCACTGGCCCCAGTCCCCGTGTGCCCTGTTTGAGTGGCTGGTCTGGAGCGGGAGATTTGGATCTCTCTCGCACAGTTTCTGTTGTTCCCGGTGGTTGCCATCTTGCTCCCGACACAGCAGACGTAGGCCTGCTGCTCCTCAGCAAGGAGAAGTGTGTATGAGCAAAGCTGGCAAGCCTATCCTGATCACATTTGTGTATAGAGGACAATCAGAACTACGTGGAGATCTTATCATGTTGGGATGTTGGGAATCGAACCTGGATGGCTGATATGGCTGGACAATTCCGTGAAATAAGGGTTGTTTCATGATTTACCTCTTGTTAAAATTAGCGATTGTCCATTGCCATATGTTGTCATGTTTGAATGCCAGATGGTATCCAACTCGTGGCAAGTGATTTTCTAGTAGGTTTTGCTGCTGAACGTGTCTACCATTAAAACACGACCTGGTAGCTTCTTGGTGGATGAGCCGTCCCGAATGTGCTATCTGGGCTCAATCATCTCGTTGGGAGACATACAGAAACCCACAGAAACCACCAACCTGTTCGTTCCCATTTCTGGCCCGGCGAGCCATCTACCAATTCTTGTTGCGAGCCAATGACCGTGTTACCATATGTGCGTTTCCTAAATTGGACGTACCCCCAGTCATTATCCATGTTCATAGGATTTTCAATTACAAACCATCCAGCTATTGGGGTATCCCGGTATCCCCATTTATGGAAACCTCCATATGTTCCCACGTTGTAGGTGAGTGAAATCTCCTTGAAACACTTTGCTGGTTCAAATCCCCATTCTTGATGTGCTCAAGTCCCCAACTTGCGGTAAATCATGTTTAATCCACAACTTCGTGAAAGACTATATATCTGGGTAAATTATTATCTGTAATGCTCAATGATCATAGTAATATAGTAATAGTAATTTGGTTGTAGCCAACTATCTGGGTAAATTACAATAATTCACTAACCTGAATGGTTCGGCCATTTGGGGATGATTTCCCTGAAATAAACCATGATTCCCAGGGTTCGGGAGAACAGCGTTCTGTCGTGATCAAATTTACCCAGATATCCAGATATGATTATAATATATTACTAACCACCACTATTAACCATCATGGAAAAACTATCAACCAGTATATGGTTTCTGGCTCAATGCCCAATTATTGATGTTTAGATAATTTCAAGATCTCCCCATGAATCGGGTTCTATCCCCATTGTACCATCGTTTTGTTTGGTTAAATCATCACTATGTCCCCATACGAAATGGTGGTATTTTAAAAAAAATACGCTTTAGAAACAATAATTTGATTCGATGAAATTCCGTTAAATCCCTTGAAAAATATTTGCCCATTTTGACCCATGAAGCCTTAAACATCACCATTGAATCACCACAAAGGTTGGACTTTTAACCCAAATTCTCTCCCCGTTGTTGCTGAATTCCCCAACTTACCTTCCGGCAATCAAACATTGCAATGGAACATTTCCCGTTTATAGAGTTTCCCATCAAAATCTCCATTCCTCATAGGGAATTCTAGCAGCTATAAACCTCTATTCATCGGGGATTTCCAATAGTCATTTTCCCAGCATGTTCCTACAAGGTGGTGCCCGTAAGTAATAACTTGTTATAACCTATGTTATAAGTTGAGTAAGTGGATTTCTAAATTAGCGAACTTGGTTATAACTTGTGTAACTGATGTTGTAGATGTAACTGAGTTGAGTAGTTATAACATGATTTAAGAACTTAAGGGGGAAAGATAAAAATAAGATATGGGGAAGTTAGCAAAGTTAGTTTTTGTTCTGTTTTTATTTGAGTTCGCATGTTTTGATCAGTGAATATAGGAACATTTGGCATCCTCGAAGCCGTTTCTGGTCAAGTTTGTGGGAAAGGCAGCATCTTTTGGGTGGAGATGGCAAATGCTGCACCAGGAGCGGCTGCAGGGCAGGCTGGCTTTTTTGCAGCCCCGCGGCAGGAGATGCAGAACTGGATGTCCTTTCCGAATTTTCTGTTGGCTGAGCATTGGACGCAGCTTCAGTCAAGTGATCGTCAGCTGCAGAAGCTGGATACGATTGTGAATCATTTGATTCGACTGGGACTTCGACATCCATCGGAGAGGACGCAGGCAACACTTGCTGCATTGGTAAGCCATGTGGGGCCAAATGCTTGGGATGCGTCTGATGTGCCAGATACTGCAAAGCAGACTGCTTTGTTGAGCACGGTGAAGGCAGTGCTGAAAGGTCAGTTGTTGCGTACGCGCAACATCGCATTGGCATTGCCGGGGGGGTACATCCGTGATCTTCCAGCTTCAGTGCAGGAGTTGCCACTTGGCATGCAGGCGCAGTTTTTTCCGGTGGGCGCAGTTGCACCGCCCATGGACTTGAATCCCATCTGGCAGGTGGCGCATGGTTGGGCTGTGCGCAGCACCCATCGTGCGCGTGCCGGGGGGCAAGTGGCAGTGGCAGGTGCGGCCAGTTCTGCAGATGCTGCTAGCATTGCCGCCCAAGCAGCGGTATCAACGGTGTTGGCTCTTGTTCCACATGCACAACGTGGATCCGTCGATGCCATTCCTGGTTTGCAATTTTTTGGGGCGGCACGCCGAGAGATGCCTGCCCATGGCAACGGGGTCCGGTCAGATTTTGGGACCGCCCTTGTTCGGGCTTCAGCTGAGACTGTGTCATCGACAGCAGGGCCTGTTGCACCTTCATTTTTGGATCGGGTTTCTACGCCTGCGTTGGCCTTGGAAGACAGACGTCCATCGGCAGAGGCAATGGCCAGCAGCACCAGGGAAAATGAGCGCTCCAACGATGCCGCTGCAAAAGAGCACCCGCATGTGCCAGCATCCGTTGCTGTGCCGCCAACGGAGCAAGGGCATAGCAAAGAATCGGAGGATTTGGAGTTGAGCCTTGCTGCCTTGGCTGAGGCGCATTATGAGCGCCCATTGCCATCTGTGGAGGCTTTGCCGACTGGAGAAGCTAAGACCCGTGGCGATAAGATGCGCAAGCCGGCGGCTGCTGCATTTGCACAGGGCAAGAAGATGCGCAAACCGGCTGCTGCAGAGAAAACAACTGCTGCATCTTGCACATTGAAGCGGCCAGCAGCTGCTGTGAAACCGCAGGCTCGCGGCAGGGCTGTGGCTGCCAGGAAAAGACCTGCAGCTGCAGCTGTTACCAGCAGCAAGACGGTGACCAGGTCGCAAGCCAAGCGACTGCGTCCGGAGGGCTGCGGCAAGTGTCGCTATCAGTGCGGCTGTACGCCAAGTTGTTGGCGAAAGGATGGGATTACAATGGTGGCTGATTAGATTTTGATCCGGCAGGGAAGCGCTGAGGATTTGAAAGCTGTAAGGCCAACTTGTGCTCATTAGATGCTTAGGATTTTAGTTGGATGGCTGACTGCTTGCGCCGTTGGAAAAAAATGCCTGATGTTGCCCGCTTTTCTGGCCTTCTCACGGGATTTTATAATTGGGAAAAATGCTTTCATTTTATAATTGGGTGGTGACGGGAAAGGTTTTCAATTCTGGATTTGGATTCGCATGCAGTTTCTTTTCAAGGATCTGGCACATATACTTGTCCTGTTGCAACATGCGTTCGCAATATGCATGGTACTATCATGGGGACGCTGTGGCTATACAGGTGGGAAAGATAGGAGACAATAGCCGTGTGATGTTGCACACATTGCCGGCATTGTGGAAAAGATGCCGTGAGAAGGGAGCGGACGCCCCCGACGTTGGTATCGTTGATTCTCCATTGCGCAAGAAGACGAAGCCAAATGAACAAATGCCGCGCTCCAAGGAGCAGCAGGTGTTGGCAGATCGAGTGGCTGCTACACTGGAGAAGTTGCGGCATGCGTCTGGAGACACGCTGCCGGCAGAGCGCAAGCGTATTTTTGTGGATCTTTTGGAGGCAGCAGCGCTTGATGTGCTAGATGCTTTGCAGACCGCGGAAGACTTGTATAGCATCCGTGAAGTCATTGCGAAAGCTGAGGAAGCCTTGGTTATTGGCACAGCTGTGTAAGCTGACGAGGGAATGCGGATTTGAGGGCGTATGGAAAAATGGCAGTGTCGAGGCCGAGACATTTTTCATTTAGAAGATTTTGTGCATGCTAATGATTCATAAAAGTAGTCATCCACATAATTTCTAATATCAACCACCATATATTCCAATTAAATAAACATATATAGTGATATATATATATATATGACTTTGTATAAACTCATGGATTGGATATATGTATATATATATAAATAATAAATAAATACCTCATTTGAAGAATGTAACCCCATGGAAGTTGTAACCCTATATAATTTATCTATATATTTAATCTATGGATCCACACGTTCATGTATGCATCCTCACACGGTGTCATGGAGCGGAAACACACATGCATGAATTTGTGCCCGCAGCCCTGGCTTTTTTTTCGGTCAAGCCGCTGTCCGGACAAGATGGCCGAGGAGGAGGCCTGGTCATGGCTTGGGAAATATGAATATATATATATATGTGTGTGTGTGCATATACGTGTATATATATATATATATGAAATATATATATCTATGAATAGATATATTTTTGTATATATACATATAGCGCCTTTGTGGCTGCTGCGTGCTGCTGCTGCGCGCGAGCCGAGCAGGGGAAATGAAGCGTTCTACGGGCAGCAGAGTCGCAGCTATATTGCTCTTGCCTACGGGCAGAGCACGAAGCTTGCCTGCGGGCAGCTCAAAGTGAATGTTCTAGCTATAAGGGGGAATCTCTAGCCTACAGGCAGAGCATGAAGCTTGCCTGTGGGCAGCTCAAAGCAAATGCTCTCGCCTACGGGCAGAGCATCAAGCTTGCCTATGGGCAGCTGAAAGCAAATGCTCTCGCCTACGGGCAGAGCAAAAGCTAGCCTGCGGGCAGCTCCAAGCAAATGCTCTCGCCTACGGGCAGAGCATCAAGCTTGCCTATGGGCAGCTGAGGAAATGCTTTTGCCTGTGGGCAAGGAACACGAATATATATATATATATATAGATAGATAGATAATAAATATATATAACCTATATTAATGCATATTTATTTATATAAATATATGCACGTTTTTTTTAATATATATATATATATAATATCATATAATCTCTGTTTGATATCATCAAAATGCTATATATAATGTTATATATATATAATATTTATACATCCACCGGCCAGGTATACAACGACCGGTCCAGCGATTCGTCGCTGGATCGGAGGCCAAGAGGCCCGGACGAAGATGGCCGTGCGGAAAGCCGCAGCGACGAAGGTGAGAGGCCTGCTGCAGAGGCCGCACCAGCAGCACCGGAAAGGGATACAGCTGCACCAACAGAGCCCGCGCGTTCCGACGCGCAGAGTCCTGCAGCTGTCCCGAAGGAAAAGAGTCGAACCCGAGGGGGGTTCAAGGCAAACAGAGGCCTGGAAGGACGCAAGCAATGTGTATATTGCAGGCGTCCTGTTGCTGACAACGCTCAAGGACGTAGTCAGCACGAAGCTTCCATGTACTGTCTGACGAGGAAGAACTACTACTATGTGGGCGGCATGACGTGGAACGAGGCAGAGCGTCGGGCAAAAGAAAAAATGGTTGAATGGAACGAATGTTGGAGCAACAGAGGGGCTTCAAGTGCGCCCAATAGGAAACTTCCTCCCCCCGAGCCAGAAGGCCCTCCAAAGGCACAGGCGCAAGCTGAGCCAGCTGCGCCTGCGCCCCGCAGAAGAATCCTATACCACCCCCCGGAGGAAAGTTATATCCGGCGTAGTCGCGACCGCCGCAGTCGGACCCGGTGCAGAGATGACCGGGAACATCACGAACGGCGTCGTCGCCGTTCGCGCAGGACCGCCAGCAGTCACCGTGCGGATGACCAGTCGCTACTTTTGATCCCGGGTCCACGCGGCACTCGCAGCCGGTCTCGCCGCCGCTCACGCGAGGACCGTGCTTCGCGAGAGAGAGGACGTGGGAAGTCTCGAGTCCGCGATCAGCGCGCTGCGCGGTCGCGGAGCGGAGCAAAGGGGAGGAGCCGATCTGAAAAAGATACGAAGGGTTCGACCAAAAAAGACGCACCACCCAAGAGAAAAGAAGAAAGTTCCACCAAGACAAAAGAAGATCCCGCTCGGAAGGGGGTCGGCGAGAAGGCAGGGAAGAAAAAGAAGCAGGAAGATGCAGTGGAGAAAAAGTCTACGCCGGCTGTGAAAGAAGAAAGTTCGTCCAGCTCCAGCTCGAAGTCGAACTCGTCGAGCGCCAGCTCGGATGACAAGGACGAGGAGAAGCCTGCGGTCGCCCCCACGGCCGCGGCTGTGCCAAAGACTGCTGCCAGTAAGGGTGCGGCAAAATCGTCCGCAAAGCCAACGCCTGCAGCCGCATCAGTCGCGTCGTCGAGCTCAAGCGGCATCGACGAATCGCGCGCGCAGCTTGCAGAGCGGCTACTGAAGACTGCCATGGAAGTGGCCCTCAAGAAACCTTGAGACATAGCGCGGACCAGCAGAAAAAATGGCGCTTGGGCGGGTGGGGACTCGAGGGGATCCAACTTGGGTTCTATATAAAACTATATTTTTGCTCGATGGAAAACGAGCAAAAAACACAATGTGTTCTAAATGTGTTCTTTTGTGTTCTATAATATTTTACCCTATATAGACCGCGTATGTGTTCTATTCCCAAAACCCTAGAACGCGTATGTGTTCTACGCCAAAACCAATGAACGCGCATGTGTTCTATACCCCAAGACATAGACCGCGTATGTGTTCTACACCATAGAAATAGAACGCGTATGTGTTCTATATGAAATGTAAAAATGTTGTTTTCCAATCGGTATTTGACCACCAAAAATATCATTCCAAGGCAATTCCGTGATCTTTTTGCAGCATTTTGTCCTCCAAAGTTCTGCTGATCCCATGGCAGATATGGCTGACGCTGAGCAGACGCCAGCAGCCACGCAGCCTGAAGCTGCAGGCGATGCAGTCTCTGAAGATGCTGCAGCGTCAAAGCAGGAGGCTGCGCAGGCTGACGGTCAGCCTGAAGGTGCTACAGCGGTTTGCGCTAAGTGCAAAGGGACCTGCGCGGTCGCCGAGATGGTTCACCGTCCGCAGTACAAAGACGGTTTGCAATACACATGCAACCCGTGCAATGCTCTGACGGCTCAGCTCCGACGCAATGGTCTCTTCATCGGCCAACTGTTGAAGACTGAGGAAGACATGATTCAGTTCTACTCGGACGCAGCTCTCGAACGCAAGAATTGCGAGCAAGGCCGGCTCGCGTTTCAAAGGAGCAGAGCGCTTCTCAAGAAACACATGGTGCATGAGCTGCAGCGTCGAGAAGTCGATGGCCAGGAGTCAGAGTGGCAACCTTTGTCGGTCTACGAGTTGCGTGGATACGACATTGAGGCTATTCGTGCCTCCGCCCCCAAGGAAGACCACCCCATCCTTGGGGAAACTTTTAAACTGCAGATTCACAAGGAGTCCGTGGAGAACATCACCCTGCAGGTTGAGCGGCAGCTGGCCGAAATGGAGCACGCTGCGCTCGAGCGCAAGAGGAGCGCTGCCGCTGCAAGCGCAGCTGCGCTCCCAGAGCTGGACTTGGAAACCATTACGGATGCCCCTGAGCGCAAAAGAAAAGGCCCCATGACCCAGGAAGAGAAAGACGCAAACAAGCTTGCGCGCGTCGCAGCGAAGAAGCAAGAGGATGATCGCAAGCTTGCGACTGCATCAGCGGCCAAGTTGCTGCCGCAGCTGAAGAAAGTGCAGAGCAACTTGCAGGACAAGATCGGTAGCATGGGTGACGCCATGCAGCAGCTGCCAGCTATCAGCTTGGAACAAGTTCAAAAGGCGGAAGCCAATTTGAACGATGTCGTTACCAAGGCATCGCAGCTTTTGGATTCTGCGGCTAAAGGGAAGCCGGTTGCTGTCGCGGACTTGGCTTGGAAGAAAGAAAAAGAACTCGCGCAGTACGCGAGAGATGGCAACCTGGCCATTCGCGTGATCCAAGACTTCAAGCGAGGCAGCGCACCTGCCAAGGCGCCTGGCAAGGGGAAAGGGCGCGGCAAAGGTGGAAAGGCATCCCGTCTTGGAGGCGCCTAGGTGCCCATGTTGTTTTGCATGGATCCCCGCTATGATTGTCGGTCGGATCCGCTGCTTGCTGGCTGAAAGCAATTGTGTGTGATAACACATATATTCCAAAGCAGCCAAGCAATTCGATTTGTGCACGTCGCACATATACACCGCAATTACGTGGCGCCAAGAAAAAGATGCGCTAATGGAACGACTTGTTTCACCACACGTCAAATATAATAACACATAAACACATTTGGGTTGTCACATATTATTGACACCAACAATATTAACACCAATTATACCATATATTTATTATAGATAACAGAAACAATATATACATTCACATTCCCCATGTTGTTGTATACAATCTCGGCATGGTGTTTCTAACTGCAGCGCGACATGATCTGGATTGTTTCTTCGGACTGTAGCATTTTTCCTCAAAGCAAGAGATCCCTGAGCTACGCACTATGTCTCAGACGAGCAATGTGCTGCTTGTCTCTGGGGTTGCGCAGATGGCTTTTGAGAGCCTGAAAAAGAACGCAACCCAAAAAGATCTTCATGACCTGGGTAACGGCTCCGTGGAACTGCTGCGTGAAGTGTTAACGCAGGTCGTGATTGGAGAGAAGTATCCGGAGCTGAAGCAAACAGCAGAAGCCTTAGGGCTGCTGCTGCTCCTTCTAAGAGGACTCCTGCTTGAGTGGGAGTGCGAAGACTTTCCCGAAGCAATTTTTGAATTGCCATTGCAGCGTTTGCCAAAAACGTATCCCAACAAAGCATGGAAATTGGCACACCCATCTCCGCGGATTCTAGCGGAAGAGACGAAAGCGAGTCTTCGCTTCCTGGAAAGCCACGCAACTTTCGAAGGCGAGCCATGGAAGTGGCTGGCAGATACCTTCCGGACGGTGGAAATGGCCTTAGAGTAAGCAAAGCATGCTGAAGCGGCCAATGTTTTTGAATGTGTCTGTATCGGCACTGATTTCGAGAAAAAAAACGCCTTGATTTGGGCATGTTTGCAATTGCTGTTGTTGCACGTGGTGGCTTACAAAGAATCCCCATGGACAGCTTGTGCAGCGTCGACATGGCGCTATAGAGTAGGCAACCGCTGCTATGGGGCATTTTTTGTTTGCATGCTATGTGTCTCTGACGGAGTCGCATCGAACTAGGAGGAAAAACCTGTGCCTGCTGTGCTGTTGCAACACAATGAAACCCTTCATATAGCGTGCTGACATGACTTGCGCAATGAAACGCAGATCCAAAAATATATATAGTCACATATAATCATATATAGATATACATATGTCCGTCCACACACATGTCTCGTTAGATAAGCACAGTACAGGTTTCCGAAAACCTTAGTCCGATCCACTTCCGTTTGATTTTGTTTCTATCCGCAGCTCCGTTTTCTTTTGGCCCAGTTGGTGTAAAGAACATGCTTCCGATGCCCCCGTTGAAGCGCCGGCGGCTGGAAAGCGTCATGGCGCGGTATAGTGAAACCAGTATTGCGCAAATGCAAAACTGTGAAAGGGATCAGAAAATTGACAGGCAAAGAACAGGAGCGCAGAAGCGCGCATTCGCGCTCGCGCTGGCGCCAGCCCGACACTGCTTCAGAGCGCTCGATGCGCCAGACAAAGACGATGGGGGAAAGGCTGTGACTTTCACAGTGGCAAAAATCCCAGAGCTCCTCCAGTACATCGCAAGGAAGTGCCCTGATGTCCGAGCCGATTTGGAAAGGGCGTCTTCGCCTATCCAAGTTGTTCTCAGCTGGGATGAGACCACAGCTGGCAATGTGCTGGCCACCGCAGCACGCATGAAGGCCACAATATTCTATATCACCTTCAAGCATTGGCAACGCGTGCATGAGTCACAGCATGCATGGATCCCAGTAGGTGCAATTAGCCACGAGCAAGCTGAGCAGATACCTGGCGGTATGAGCATGGTCCATAAGTTGTTTCTAGAAAACTGGTTGGAACAACGCTTGGACCAAGGTATGTGGCTATCGCCCAGCACGAAAATCTATCTGCAACTGACTCTTTTCGTTGCAGACGCAGACGCGCAAAGAGCCGCGCTGGCTGGAAAGGGAAGCGCAGGTCTGAAATGCTGCGCGTTTTGCCGAAACTGCTTAGCAAAAAACTCAACTGGAGCAGCTGTGGACACAACAAATTTTCGCACCATAGCGGAAGCGAACGTAAACTGGTTCACTCCCAACACACAAGAGCAGCTCCAAAATTATATCCGGAAAGCATTGATCCGCTGGCCAGAAATGACAAAGAAGGATAAGGACATCATAGAACGATGCCTCGGGTTCAACGTCAGTCCCAACACTGTGTGGACATCCGACATGTGCTGCACAGCGCTACCTTTGTCGCGCTACATGAATGATTCGATGCACTGCTACTTCGCCAATGGCATTGCAGCCGTGGAAATAAACTTGCTAGTGCAAGAAGTGACGCGCAGCACGGGCAAAACCATTGGTGACATCAAGCAAGCAGTGCTCCAAGCTGGCTGGAAAAGACCGGGGCAGTTATTGCGGGAGGGTCAAACAAAGTGCTGGACTGGTCGTTTGTTTATTGCGACGTTTTTTCTTGGTCAGATATACAAGGGGAGCGCCAAGCAAACCCGTGCATTGCTGCCTCTCCTTTTGTGGTTGGCAGAAAGTGTCTGGAGCAAGATTGAATCACTGCGGCCTATGGTGGACTCCTTCATGAAGCTGTGCCAATGTGTGACATGCTTGCGGAAAATTGCGAGCAGTAACGACTGGGACGAACTCGAAAGAGTGCAAGAAGCCCACCAGCTGGCGTTCAGTCGCACCTATCCGGAAGAAATTCGGCCCAAACACCATCATCGGTTGCATTTGCCCCAACAATACCGTGCCGCCGACTTTGTTGCCACATGCTGGGGCACAGAGTCAAAGCATCGCTGCTACAAAAGCATATATGCCCGGAACCTTCAACAGTTCCTGACGGAGAGAAATGGAGGAGTAGAGTTTTCTGAACGGCTGCTCCCACGACTTCTCCTCCGCAGTGCAGAACTCTGTCAGAACATGACCCTGCAACCAAGAACATTCCAACTGGAGAAGCTGTTCGATGAAGCTGAAGTCAATAGATTGGCGGCTGGTCTGGAAGGCTGTCGCGTCGGAGCCCGTTGTCGAGTGGCGTTGCTGCAGCTGCAAGAAGGGGATCTCTTGCTGCACGGCAAAAAAAACACTGAGGCCGGAGTGTGTCACTTCTTCATTGACCAAGCCAATGAATTGTTCATCTACGCGACTGTCTACTCGCTGGTGCAACACACGGCTGCCATGAGAAGATTCGAACGCACTACCAACAAACGAATTCTGAAATGGACCAACTTGGTCACGCCTGCCGTGTGCAGCTGGTGGCGCTCGACAAACCAAAATGACATTTTCTGCATGCCTTGATGAAAAAAAAGCTGCTTGCGCCGTGTGTCCACCCGTCAACCGTTCAATTCGCATCAAAAACATGAAAATCTAGGCATAAACGGCAATTTCTACATTCTAAAAACTTAGCAAAGTTATAACATAGTTATAAATCAACTTATAACTGGCCTAACTTAAGTTATGTTAACTTCAAACTATCTTCCATAACTCACTTATATATTGTCTAACTTCATCTTAACATGGGGGCACCACCTTGTAGCATTTATTTTATTTTGTATGTTTACAAACATCTGTTTATTGGGGACAATGCCACATAATATCCATTCTTCCCGCATTTTCCTAGCATTTTTGGGGATGTGTGACTCCCCACTTGCCATGTTTGACAGTTTTTTGGGTCACGATTTTGGCTCAGCTTCAAGGTGGAAGTGGAACTCGCCGACGTGGGACGGCTTTGCGCAGGCCTGAATTTTCGTCGCCAAGGGATGTTTCGTTCTTTTTTTCGGGACCCCTGCAGATTTTCCTGGCCAGAATTTGTTTCCCAGGATCCGAGTGGGATTTTTTGATGGGATAGTGGGATGTGGCCCCAAAAAATATGGGAATTCCAGCATCCTAATGGGATCATAATAGGATTATAGTGGGATGTGGGATTATACCCAAAAATGAAGAGATTTATGAAGCCTATGGATCCAGCCCTGCCTTCTGAAAGGAAGTGTGACTGGGGTATGGTGACGTGACTCGGGGGGTTAGCCGTACCTTCTGAGACAGTGTTTGGATTGGAACCTGAAGGTTTTTGGAGTCAAATCAGATGGAAATGATGGACA